AAGAATGGGTACAGTAACAAGTCAAGACAGTTGTACTTTATTTAATCGACTTATCAAATTTACCGCTAAAAATAAAAACGACGGGCTTACAGACGTCATATCTTATTTTAAACTGCTGTCCGTTGATACAGTATGTTCATTTCCCACTAAAAATATGTGTAACCAGTTTAACCCTTAAAGCGGCAAAGCACTAATAAAACATTATTTTTTGTTAAAAAGTCTATATTTATGTATTGTTAGGGATGTAATTAAATGTAAATATAAAATAAAGTGAAAAAACATTTATTTAGAAGTTTTTTTTTAACGTCCCATAAAACGGACAGCACTGCATACGTAAAAAATCTGCTCTTTTATTTAGCGTCCTAGAAAACGGACAGTGCTGGATACTGTAAATATTAAGAACTTTGACATATTAAATAACAATTCGATTTATAAATATACAAAAACGTGGGTTTAATAAAACAATCAAATTGGCAAAAAGTATTTTCAGTTAAAAAAAGTCTTAAGCAATTAAACAGTAATTAATTAATTATTTTTGTGTATGAAATTGCAAAAAACATTTCTTTTTTTGAGTCAGGCACAATCTTACATCGCATTTCAGGCATTTTATCACTATTTTCCCTTTCGTACAAAGACGGCACCGTCCTTGTGTATCGATATCGGGTAGATGGTTGATCCCATCTAACCGCATCTCTGGTGGCGGCCTCGGAACTATAGGTTTAGTGATTTCAGCTGAAATTTCTGAATCTATTACAATTTTTATACGCGTGTCTGATTTTATTAGTGCATCTGCAATTTGGATTCGAAACCTTTTCAATGGTATAGAATTATCACCCATTTCCTGCATTTCACGTTTGTACACAAGCCATGCATTATTCAGAGAAATGTCGATGAGGTGGCTGAAAATGTTCATATACCATTTCTTGCTTTTCAGAGCAACCCTATATAAAGAAATCAACATATCGGCTTTATCTACCCCACCCATTTTTTTGTTGTACTCCTTGATAATGTGTGGACATGAAACAGGCCGCTTTTCGCGCACATCTTTATTATATCGTAAAATGCTGGTAACAGGCTCTTCTCCACAATATGAACTCGCTAAATTTACACAGTCATTGTCCACCCACTTCACAATTGATAGCTTATTTTTATTATCTGAAATCATTACATAGCTTCCTCTACCTTTTTTCTTCAGCACTTTATCTTCGATAATATTCTGCCCTCTAAGTCTGTCCTTCCTTATGGTCCCCAAAGAAAGAATTCCATATTCATTTCTTAGATGATATATTAGCTCCAGAGACGTGAACCAGTTGTCAAAATAAACAGTTGATAAAGGTTTATCCTTTATAGTTTTACATAGCTTTATAACTGTTCTCCCGCCAATGCCGAGATAATTATTTTCCCACTCTGTAAAATCAGCACGGTCAAAACTGTTGCCACCATCGTATGCAAAAAAAGTCATATACTATCCCGGAATTTCCAGTTCGAACAAAAAATTTAAAACCCCATTTTGTGGGTTTTTTCGGCATATATTGACGCCGAGATCCAGCCTTTTTACCTTTATACGGCACCATCATCTCGTCTATGGAATATGACTTTTCCTCTTCAATCGCCAAACAATTTAGCCGTAAGTGCTCCATCACGGGCCTAATTTAAAAATAACGATCTACATGATCATCCTCCGCATTATTACTAAAGTGTAAGTTTCCTCTTATATTCTCGTATTTTTTGAGAGACATAACGTCTGCGATAGGAGCAAAACGAGTACCTTGTGCCCAATAATCAGCATATGCTGGCATGCTTACTATTCCCATTAAAATTTCAATACCGACAAAAGATTTTATGTCTTTGACTGTTAGATTTATTGACTTGCCTTGTTTTTGCATAGAGTATAAATTGGTCATTTCGACGATGTGGTTCCATAAATCCTCATTCCAAAGCTTCTTGAAATAATCGAATGATGTTTTATCCGTATAATCTATAGAAGGGTGAAATTCTGAATCTATGTGTACCTGACTTCTGAATTTTGGGCGTTTGAACTCGAATTCCATCTGTTCTAGTTTTTTTCGTTTATTTCTGACTTGGTTGGATGTAGAAGGAACTGCATCATTTGCATTTCTTATGTTTCTTGTGCGTCGTGTTGAAATACCCAGTGGTGTTACTAGGGATGGTATTGATTGATGCGGCTGAACATTGGAAATATTTCTTGGAGACTGTACTGACGTGGTGACCACAGATGGAGAAGGTTGAAGAGAAATATTGCTCGTTGCAAGGGAATCCACCAAAGTATCATAACAATTATTTAATAGAGAAGGACTCGTTAATTCTTCATCAAAATCGTCATCAAAACCATTTAAAAATTGTTCCAGTCCGGGAGACAGAGTTCGACAGGAAGATGAATCGTCTAACACTATACGTGAAAATACTCCTTCTTCATTATTCTCATCATTTTCAACGTCGGATGGTTCCGAATCTGACGGTGGAATCATAGGCAAAATTCTTTGCGCACGCCATGCTTTGATATTATTAGTGGAATTCCCTATAACAAGCATATTTAGCATTTAAAACCAATCACCATGAAGCATTAGACATTAAAAAAAATGCGTACGTGTTCGTTTAGATTATTATTGTTAGTAACATTAGCAAAGTCCGTTATTTGGGACACCTAAAATTAAACACCTAGTGTTGATAAAGCGGCAATGTCCGTAAAAAGTGACACCTATAATTTAGCATAACAATCTTATAAATTCTCATGCAAAGTAATTATAGATTGATCAGAAATAAACAATAAAGTCACCTCCTTTCGAAATAACCGCAGGTCGCAGTGGTTTAACCATTTTTATACCAAATTTCTGCACTGTTTTACGAATAGCTACCGAACATCGACTTGACAGATTTCAAATCGAACGACAGTTACTGTTGTGATGCGCGCGACGCGTAGTGTCTGTGCGAGGAGGATGGATATATCGCTCTCTTCACGCTTCGTTCAAAAACAGTGCCAGTTTACGTTTAGGAACCTTTTTAATTTTGATTATTTAGTTGTACCAAAAAACGGACAAAAATGCATTAAGGGTTAATACTGCAATGTTGGTAAGTATGGAGCAACCAGAAATTAAATTAAATTCGATAGACGAAATAGATTGTCCACGGTATTTAAAAAAAAGGAGCAAATGAAGTACTTAAAAAGAACGAGGACGATTTGTCGCTAACTGCAGGTTTAGAAAATGTTATCAGGATAAAAATAGGTTCACGTGTAATGTTGCGAAGAAACGTAGATGCCAGTAAAGGACTGGTAAACGGATCTATTGAAATAACAGAGAAGGTACATTAGGACATCCACAACAGCAATAGCGCACGTAAAATTACAATAAAATGTAAACATAATTTAATTTACGAACTAGAACGAGTTTTAGATATTAAGTAATGTATATTTTCAATGGGAACGATTCTCTATTTGCTTAGCATATATGCTATTACTATCCACAAATCACAAGGCCTTAGCCTTGACAGTGCTCTTCTCGACATAGGCTCCTCTATATTTATGGTAGTAGAGGGCAGGCTTACGTTGGACTCTCCATTGTTAAAACCTTAGATGGAGTACATCTTATCCTTAACCATTTGGTATTAATTTTGTTATAAATAAGTACCTACTAATAATTTATGTACAAAAAGTAATGATATCCCATCAAAAACATAAATGTGAAATGAGAGCCAAGTTCAATATTATGATATATGCGTTGGTTGTTGACTTTAACGACAAAAGAAGTGAGATTTAAATGGGTGCCAAGTTCAATGGTCAGTCCTGAAATTTATTTATAACAACATAAAATATAATTTCTTCTTATAACTTAGGATAATATTGTTACGCGCTCAAGTCGACGGCACTAGCGCCATCTAGTCTCAAACCGAAGAACTAAGTTTCTAGAAAATCTACACTCGAACACTCGTCGCTTTGCGCGCATTTACTTGAATATTCCGGATGCTTCATTGCTAATTTGTATATATAGGCGCTGCAATACCTCCTCCTGCAAGAACCTCAAGCTCGTAACAATATATTGTAGCCTAAGGTCTGACATGGCTAGTTTTCGTATACGAATTACATTATAGTCTTCACAAGTTCCAAACCTGATACTTGTCGGTTCTTATTTTATTATTCTGAAAATTTGGCTTGCTGGTAGAAACTAGCCATCGAACATAATAATTTATTAATCACAATAACATAACAATTGATTAGAATAATTTTAATTTGAAAATTTCAGAATATCAACCATTAATTTCTGGAGTTATGTTATCAATTGTTTTAACAAAAAGTCGTTTATATTATGTTCTATGCACAGCGCATATTGCGTCTCAAACGAGAAGCGGAGTTATTTTGCAATGTGTCTTCATAAATGTGATCAAAATTTGACTGAAATTCAGTACGTAACCATGTCTGAAACTCCTTTAATTTATTACTGCAATAACCGACATCAACTTGTGATTTTTGTAAAATATTGTACAATCAGTCAGTTTTTTCAAATACCCGATGGAAAACTGAAAGAAAAAAATTTAAATTAACCCTTAAACCCTACCCGGGGGGTCCAGCAAACCCCAGAGGTTGAATATTTGTAGATATTTTTGCAATAACGAAACGCACTATTGTGCCACTCGAGCTAATCTTTAATTACGTCGTCGGCCATCTTTTCACTAGTCTAGCGTCAACGCTTACACAGTTTAGACGGAATTATAGCTATTTATGGGTCTGTCAGACCCCAGGGTAGTAAGAACGTAGTATTTTGTCATTTCTTTTTGTCGATACATTGGTGAATGCAGTTATTTTTGATACAATATTTTAAAGGGTAAGTTTAATATTTGATGTATTTATTACAATAACAATAGTGTTTTTTTTCTTTAGGAACGTATATGAACAAATCTAGCAATTTTGTTGTTTCGTTTTAACAGTTTATTCAATATTGTGTTTTATGTCATTGTTTTAGTTTTAACGATCAAAATTGCGTAAGATGGACCTACAGATCACTCAGTGGTTGCATGAAGACCAATCAGAAGATGAAGAGGCATGTGAAGTCGCTGTTCCTGACCTTGAAAATGATGTTGAAGAAGACGGAATTATTGAAGACTTTCGAGCAGAACATCCAGATGGTGATACAGAAAATTCTTCATCGGTAGATGACACTCCTCTGAGTAATTACAGTTCAGGTAATTTTCTACGTGTCTTACCTGTCCCTAATAATCTGAAGGGCAAAGACGGGTTTAGGTGGACAGGTGAAAAACCAGCAAAGTCTAGAGTCCCACGAAGAAATATTTTGTTTCATCCTCCTGGACCTAAAGCTGCAGCTCCTGAAATAAAAACAGAGCTGGAAGCATGGAGTATTTTTTTTCTGATGAAAAGCTTGAAGAAATTGTAAGAAATACAAATACTGAAATTGGTAAACAGAGAGAAAAATATAAACGAGACAGACCTGTACAGAATACGGAAGATGAAAACGCGGACGCATCGAGTTCCACAAAAATACGTCCTTCTTTTGCTAAGGATGCAAGTGTGGTGGAAATGAAGGCTTTATTTGGACTTTACTACTTAGCAGGGGTACTCAACATGAATCACATCACCACCAAGGAATTGTTTGACAAGAACTCAGGTGTTGGCTATTTTCGTGCCACCATGAGCCAAGCCAGATTTGAGTTTCTGACAAACTGTCTGCGTTTTGACGACCGGTCTACCAGAGAAGAACGCCAGCAAAATGATAGATTAGTACCAATTAGAAACATTTTTGATCACATTGTCAAAGTTTCGAGTGAAGTATATAGCCCTTCAGATTGCTGTACATTAGACGAAATGTTATTGGGCTTTAGAGGTAGATGTATCTTCAAAATGTACATTCCGAGTAAACCAGATAAATATGGTATAAAAATTTTGATGACTTGTGATACTAAAACTGCCTATATGTTAGATGCTTTTGTATATTTGGGCAAAGGCTCGTGCCCTACAAATGTAGCAGCTGCTCATTTCTTTACTTTGAAATTGACTGAAACAATTCATGGCACAAACCGCAACCTCACTTGTGATAATTGGTTCACGTCAATACCGGCAGCAAAAGAATTGTTGCAAAAGCAGGTGACCCTTGTAGGTACACTACGTAGAAACAAGAGAGAAATTCCACCTTCTTTTCTTGAGTTAAAAGATCGCGATTGCAACACGGCAAAGTTTGCCTTTACAGGAGAACTTACGCTTATGTCTTACTGCCCCCCAAAATCCAAACAAAAAAAATTTGTCCCCATGTTGTCAACTATGCATGCAACAGCAGATCCTGATGCAACGATTCAAGTACCAGAGATGATAGAGTTTTATAATAAGACTAAATGCGGAGTCGATTTGATGGATCAGCTATGCCACAAGTACAGCGTATCTAGGAGATCAAAAAAGGTGGCCAATGGCAATTTTTTTGGCCTTCTGAATCTAGTAGGTGTTAATTCGTATGTCCTGCTAAAAATGGCCACAAAAAGAGTTACAAAAAGACGTCATTTCTTGAAAAAACTTGCCATAGATCTGATCACCCCTCAAATGGAAGAACGATTAACATGGCCCTCTTTGCCCATGAATCTTCAAGTTCTCTTAGGTGGAATCTTGCAAAAGAAGCGGCCATTGCAAGAACCAAGTTCTGATCCCACTGCTAAAAAAAGATGTGCAATGTGCCCAAGGGGTAAGGATCGAAAAACCGAGGTCACCTGTGACATGTACCAAAAACCTCTTTGCGGTGAACATACTGAGGCCATGTGCCAAGAATGTGTTACCAAAAATCATTAACAATTTTTTTGTATTGTCTAATAAGCAGATTATTATAATAAATAATAATTGTAATTAAATTGTTTTTTATTTTTTAAGTATGAATTTTTATATAGTGGGGTCCTTAAAACCCCTGGGTAGCAATAGTGTTTCTCCTAGAATGGGTAGGGTTTAAGGGTTAAATGAACGTAAAGTGTTTTCCAAATTCTCGGCGGCCAAGATCGTATCGCCGTCCCAGTTCTACGGATTATCGCATTTATCCGAAAACAAATTAATCAGATTATCTTTTTGTTCAAATACTATATTCACAATTCGTGACGTATACGTCTAACGAGTTGCGGGGGCATTGGGCAATTTTTGTTGCAATGTGCATCATAAAAAGACGACTAAGAGAGACCCAATCCTGTTATAAGATTTCGATAAAACGAATGCCAAAATGTGTGCATTACACCAAATATACATGGATATGTGACAAAGATCTTTAACTTTTTGTTGCACTCCATTTTTGACTCCGAACATGACACTTGCACCATAGCTTTGCGCAACTAGTTTTGTGGTGCAGTCATGTTTGTTTAATAATACCAATATGATATTACAAAGTGTGTCTGCTGTGCGACTTTCAGACATACCGCAAAAAACTGTGATAAATATCGTTTACATAACGATATCGGAGAATCAGACACAACTCTTCTCTGTGAATGACATCGGAAGTTTCGTCAGTAATAATTAAAACGAATTTTGATAATTTTACTTCGTACTCGATGCGACTTTTCATTACATCAGCGACAGAATGAATAATGTCATTTTGGACTGTACTTGATAAATAACTCGGCCGTTTGTCGCTTTGTTGATGTTACATATGGATTTGTAACACGAGATCGTACGTAGAAAGAAGCGATACAAGTTCTAAAAATTTGCCTCTATTTAATGAAGTTTTCGACTCATCGTGACCTCTGAAAGGAAGTTCTTGTTGTACTAAATGGCAAACAATATCGACTAATCTTTGAAAAACTCTACGGTTGTGATCAACATGCATGTTGTGTTTTGTTATTTCCTCAGATAACTGGCGCGACATGGATGTTTCAATACGATTTTTTCCAAAATTACTAAACAAAATTACCGCATTCACGTGCTTTTGAGAATTAATATGCATTTTAATAGCTCCAGATAAGTTATTTAAATCATAATATCCAATAGTATTCTAAGCTGTTCTGTCCTTGGAAAAGATAAAACAGCATTAACAGTACAACATATTGGTATATGAGCAGCCAACAACCCTTTTGAGTTTTGTAAACAGATCTATTAAATTGCCGTTTGTGGATTTTACTCGTCCGAGAAGTGCACAGATCAGGCATTGGTTTCGGCGAGGATATGAGCTGTTTTTTCTCAACAAAGTTTAAAGATTTTGCCTTTCCCTCGCCGATCAGCACTTTAACAGATTTCAATTCATCACAAGGAACAATAATAGTGTTCCTCCATTTTCAATAGAAATCTTTAAAAAAGCATAAATTTTCTACTCGCAATTTTCATTCGCTTAAATAAATACAGAGTAAACATTGAAATATGAACTTGCAAACGTATCGTCGATATTCACACCGAAAACCCGGCTTTATGCTTTATACTAATTATAATATAAACAATCGTAGTTATATTTTATTACAGAACATTTTGCCACAGTTAGAAAGGGAGCGATCGTCTTCTCGAAGGCCGAAGAGAGACAACTAAACGCTCAACTCAACTCCTTTTTTATGCCAGCAGCATGACCTTTGTACAACAGAGGAGCGCGCGGGAAATAAAAAATAGTTTGAAACAGTTTACCGAGTTATTTTATTAGTTGATATTATTGATTGAGCAGTTTGATTGGGCAAGCACGGCTTCTCGGCTTCTATGGAGGCTTCACCACTGGCTGTCCCAGGAAGCCTGTACCAACGAAGATCTGTGGTTTGGGTACACCAATACCTATCGATTGGACCCTCATGTATCTTATGCAATTATTGTAGTTTTCGAGATATGAATTTATGTGTTTTATTTTCAGTTTTTTGTAAATTAGCTGTAACTTTTTCTGTGAAATAATGTTTTCAGTTTAGCCATAATACTGAAATAAAAAAACCAAAATAAGTACCAACTTTTTTGTGTTATTTTGAGAGCTAAGGAACCCATAAAGTTTTTGAAATTCCCTGGAAGTTATTCAGTTTTGGTTAAGTAGTTTTTTTTTCTCAAGTTGAAATCAAATAAAAATTTCTCTCAAACAGTTTTTTCTTATTTTGTGAGTTAAATCTGATCTACTTGTACTTAGAATTTTGGTGTTTAGCATTTTTACAGACAAACACACATGCTAGCCATAATACTAACAAAAAAAACTATTAGAATTACTTCACGTAAAAATTTTGGACGAATCTAGCTATAAACGAACTTAGAGCTAAGTTCGTCATTTGTAATAGCTAAATTTTGAACGAATTTAGCTATAAGCTAACTTCGTCCAAAATTTAAAAAAAAAACTGAAAATAAAACAAAAAAATCACATCTCAAAAACTACAAAAATAGTGGAACGTAAATGAGGGTGCAATCTCTATTGTTGTATTGATGTCCTCAGACCACAGAGCTTCGATGGTACAGGTTTCCTGGGACAACCTGTACCTACCTAGATATGTTTGAAATAACTTCCACTTCTAAACTTCTTACACTTCTAAAAAAATTCCAGAACATACATACAAGTGAACTAAACTAAAAGTTTTAAAAAAAGTGAAAAAGTAGGGACATTAAGATCAAATAAATTATCGTGTTTAAGTGGTAAACTCGCCATGACAGTCACAGAGCAAACTTGTTTACTTCACAATCAGTTTACTCGATCAGTGCCAGCGTAATTCGTTACAGTACTTACTGATTACAACAAAATACAAATATTACCAACCGCCGACATTGATACATAGAGTCAATAATATATACGATAATATCTATACCTATATAGTTTCTACGTTCGAGATTGTCCCCACCGTAGTGGTGGGTTTTGATAGACTACAAATCCTACCAAAAGAACACCGATTCCTACAAAGGATGATAGGCGAGGCTATTTAAATTAAAAAACATCCTAATTTCAATCCTATAATTAACAACATTAAATCTAAACCCACGCATACCACTGCAAGACTTCAAGATATTGTACATAAGCTCGTTTTGCGTAGATCGGACCAAAAATTAATATTCAAAAACTGAAGGAAGACGGGCTAACTATGATATTGGTACGACATCTCAGTCTCCCCGTGACCATAACTGTTTTAAAGCACCCGAAACGTCGGGAATTAAAAAATAAGTTAATTAAACGCGATAAAATCCGTATAAATAGTTTTATACAAAGGTTAAATAAATTATAATGACTTCTAGATTTTGGCGCATGTCCTATATATAATATGCTCTCATCAAATCGTAAGGCCTTTGTTAAGTTACAATTTATGGAAAGAACGGAAAAATTATTTAGTCGGGTATTTAACGTTTTGGTCCTATATTTGTTTTCTATATACATCCTGGAGAAATAGCGTTTCGCTCCACAACTAGTGCTTGACAACGTTAAAAAGTAGTAAAGCAATTTGGGAAAACATCAAGTTTCTTTTCATTTATTAGCATAAGCATTTCACTGCAAGAGTTGTAAGACTAGTTTAGATTTTAACCGAATGCACCCAACGTCGTCTAGATAATAATCAATAATATTGCGTACACTTTCTTTTCCATTTATTGTTTTCCATATTATTGTATCGCAAATCCATTAAAAGCTTGAATTTCTTGCTAAGTCTCATAGAATTGACTTCTTCTATTTAAATCCGAAATCCAAAAGAACAACGCAAAGTATAGCGTGTCTCTTTTAAATTTTTCTGCTATACTGCGACCATCTGAAAAATTCAGAGTAATCCGTCTCCTGTTTATGTCAAGTCTGTATTCTGCTAATATTTAATTTTTTTAGCTTTCTCCTCGTACCTATATCTCTAATTTCAGATCCGATTCGTGCCGTATGTTACTCACGAACATGTTGCCTTCACCAATATCCCCTCTAAAATTTCTTCTCAAAAAGTAGTATCGAGTATCGCCACTTCATTAAACAAATTTCGTGACTCTTTTCGAAAATTAATTTTCTCATTCTCATTACCAGTAAAAGTCATGAAATTTTCGTAATATCATCATAATTATTTTTGAAGATTTGACCAGGTATTTTCTTCAATTACGGCTGGGAGTTCTGGGCTGCAGCCTAAAAAGTCCAAATATAGATCCGCCCCTGATTATTCACACGACATATATAAATAGCAATGATTCATAACCATTGGTATGCTGGAGTCCGATAAGTGGCGCTTTAGCCAAGTTATTAACTTCTATATTTAAGAACCATATTCACAATATAATATTGTTTTAGTGCCAAACGGAAAAACAATATCCGCACCCAATATTTAGTAATCAAATATGTAGCTCTGTATCTGTAGTGAAGTTATAATAAAATATAAGACATATAAATCAAACTTATCGAGCCAAGTTAAACAGCCGTAAGTAGTCCTTCTAAAATAAGAATAAAAACGCCCCATTAGGCATTATTTTACTTAAATCCCCCCTTTTATGGCATATTTCGGACGGTGAGGAGAAATGGATTGCATACTTTTTTTTTAATAAGGAAAATAATATTATACAGACGTTATGTTTCGAAAATCGATAGAAAAAACGGAGCAAACATATTATTCCGAATTTATAAAAAAAGCACACTGCTACTCAGCTTCCGTATCGATTATTGAACTTACGATTTAAGCAATTTCCTAGTGGCAGTTGTAGTTATGAACAACACAATTCTTCAACTATGTGTATATCATGCTTCAGTGCGTTTATAAATTTTTTTGACACAAAAAACTTCTGTAGACTTGAATGATCTGACACGTACTATAATGTATTAAAATTCTGTTGATTTATCATAATACTTTAGCATACAATGGGATAAACCCTCGCTCCTCAGAGCACCGCGAGCCTGCCGCAATCCTGGCGCGATCCCA